CCATAGAGCAAGTTGCATTAAAACTCATGACTTTTCACCGGGCCCTAGCTGCTGACTTCCAGTTTAGCCCTCTTGCTAACAGGAATGGGTATACATTCGGCCATTTGCATTAAGCTTTGTATCATTTAGAATGTTGCCCAGTCATAATTTTTGAAATGGTCGGTGCATCATCCCTCGACTTCCCTGGAGAGGGGGAGAAATACGGATTTCAAGTGTTTGCACTTCCTGCTTCCAATGATGTAAAAATCTTCATTTTGCGTCAATTGGGAAGCAGGAAGTTCTCATATCTATGCTAAGGAGGTGAGACTAGCCAAACACTACTTCCTCAGTTTTTTTTCACTCACGCTTACAGACCTATCACAGATCAGGGGGTGACTTACACTTGCACAAACTAAAAATATTAACCGCCATCTTCTTTTTTTGGAAGCTAACGGAGCGGCTGTCGGGAATCACAGACGTTACGACTCACGACTATGGTATCATCTAATATGGAAGAAATTTTTGAAAGTGTGACTGTCGAATCAGATGTTCGGTGGCTACCTTTATTAGCCGCAATATAGCGAAGAAGCAGCTGAGGCTTCTGGCCGCCGGAGCAGAGGGACCTTGCCTGTCGGCGGATGAGAGCCGGACCGGCTCGAGCTGGGGCGGACTGCTTGGGTGCCTGTGCTCTCACTGTGCGTTCTTACGGACACAGGGACGTTCCGACTGTTAAACGTGAGTGTTTCTATTTTCTTTCTTTATCTAACAACGTGGCATGATTATACAATTTGTTCAGCATTATCAACGAAGTTATTTCCCCGGTTAATACGTAACGTCAGCAACTGGAACTAGGCTTCTTTATTGCACAAACAGCTTGCATTGCATTGGCTAACTACTGTGGCACGCTAAACACAAAGACCATGCATCGCTAACTGTGCTTGCCTCAATGGTTCTTTGCTAGACAATATCGGCCTAACAGGCCTTCTGGAATGGGGTCCTGGCAAGGCAGAGATGGGTCGAGGCCTTATTCGTGTCGTTTTACCCGGCTTTGTGGTTGCAGGCTATCCAACAGGAAATATCCAGCTCCAGGGATCGCCAGTACTGCGCGGCCACCAAGGAAGTTGAGGACGCTCAGGGAGGACTTAACTGTCATTGTTAACATTTATTTATTTTTGTTGTGTTGATATATTTCTGTAAACAAATGGTTTACATTCACGTTGTGTGCTTGATACTGTTAGTGGGAGCCCGGCCTTGGGAGCTGTGCATTGTGGGAGTTGTTGTCTTTTTAAGACAAATGCGGCCCTAAAGTCACTTTTCTGTCTTTTCTCGGGTCAAATAGGCACCAAATTCAAAATTATGTTACATTTTCGACTACATATATACCAACTTTCAATAAATAATTAAATGTTTTCCACGGGTGAAATGTCCCTTTAACAAATGCTATCAGACAAATGGGATCAAATTCTGATTAGTGAAACAAGCCATTAGTGGGAATGTATCCGGTTGCATCCACCTAGGCCTGTAGCGACACGTCGGACGTTCAAATTTTTTGCGTTGACGCTTCGACAGCTTGACACACACACGTGTGAGACCAAAACATTGCAGAATGGAAACGAAACAGCAACCTTCCTCACAGGAATTTCCAATAAAAGCCCTATAAAAGAAAAAGTCCTAAAAAAACAGCTCGCCCTAAATCATCGAAGGTATACTTCAGAATTTAGTCCCAAACAGGGAAAGGGTGCTCGTTATTTGCGCTCTTTGCTGTTGGTGGTATGCCAACTCCATTTTGGCAATGTGGGGGAGCATCTGGGGCGGAGGCGCCCCGCTCGTAGGGAGGGAGACGGTTGGGCAGGTGGTTGCTGGCGTTGGCTGGGTTGGTTTATGTTTGTGTGGTGTGTTGGTGTGCTTGGGTCTCCGCACTTCGGGTGGTGCTGCTGGTGTCTTGGGCTCTCGGGTTGGCTGGCTAACGTTAACGTTGGCTAGCTTACTTGGCCCGCCTAGGGACAGCTGGTGTTTAGCTAACATTTAGGTTATCATCTAATGGTTGGGCTTTGAATGGTTTGCTTGACTTACGGGCTTGCCAGAACAACACCGCTATCTATTTGTAGCTAACTTGGCTGCGCGGGTGCGGCTTGGGCCGCTGGCTGCCGCGGGCGGGCTGTGCGGGGGGCTGCGCGCGCGGGGCGCGCTGCATGGCGGCAATGGAGATTGATTTTGCCAGCGTTGGTGCTTGCTTGTTGTTGTTTTCCCTTCGGAGTTGCAAAGGGGTGCCTCCGTTTTCAGCAGGGGGAGAGAGCTTTTAAGATGCCATTGTTAAGCCTAGCACCACCAAAGTGCACAGCTGCTAGATCTTAGCTAATGGTAGCAAACGAGATTTGCAGTCTAGCTTTTTAAATTATCTGTGCTACGTTAGCTAACTCACGTTAATTGTCCAATTAGTCGTTTAGATTTTAGTCGATCTAATCGATAAAATTAATCGCCCGATTAAATCGTTTAAGAAATTAATCGTTTACCCCAGCCCTACATCCACTATTTACACTACTTTTCTTTCACAATGTAAGCTTATGGTCTTTTTGGGCCAGTGTACATTACGTGACAGACACCTTTGCTGTAATTCCAATATCAATAACAGTATCAGAAATTCTTCCAATACGTCCTAAAAAGCTATGTCAGATATCAGCAACTATTTATGTCTTACCGGATGTCTTACCGATCCGATAGCATGTAAGTTGTTAGCCCCTGCTACTACTACCTGTAAAGTTATGACCCGCCCTGCTCTGACTCTGACAAAGGGTTATAACCTTGGCCTGCATACAAAAAAACAATTATACAGGCTCAGTAGCATAACTGGATAATGCGATATGTAAAATTCAGCTATCAGAATCAGTATCAGTAAGGAAAAAATGGTATGGGAATATCTCTAGCTGTAAGTACATGGTTTGGCCACTATGCTAAATTGGCGTCAAAGCTTGCCGCACTTCCTGGGGACTGAAAATGTTTGAAATTATGACAAATATCCATCACAACATACCAGATCCCAAACTATATTCTAATTGCTTATTTTTATAGTCCCCTGGTGTAATTCCCCGTCAGTATTATCTGTTATTCTGCTGAGTCAGAGTTTGTCTTATTTTGGACTAAATTAAAGTTGACGATGAAGTTCAATATTTCACATCATCATTTAAACAGTTTTTTCAGTAAAATTTGCAAAAATTATCATTCCCACACTACTCGTGAATCATATAATAATATCTGTCAAAATAATATCTAGCTATATGATGTTTTTACAATCTTGTGCTTCCGTAAATAAAATGAGAACATTTGGAATCAATATATTGGATTTTTTTATGCAGCAACGCACCAGGTCACATACCTCGTAGGTGTAAAAACCTACTTGGCAATAAACAATTCTGATTCTGATTCTGATTCTGATTTAAACAACTTAATTCAGTCATAAATTGTTAAGCCAACTCTAATGCATGATATATATTTAATGTTCCATCTGCACAACACCACTCCACTCCAGCCACAAATATTTCCCCACATTTGAGTGACAAAGCTGACACTCACTATGAGAGTGGTTCACACCCTGGGGGTCAGGAGGCCTTCTTGGTTGTAAGGGGTGTTAGAAAACAAAAATATACACATCAGTAGGCATTATCATCTCATCAACAAAAAAAAAAATTCAATTGCCATTTTTAAAATTCGGATTATTCTTGAAGATAAAAACTTTAAAGACCTGAACACAAGCTATATTCACAGAGCCTTCACTCTCTGATAAACAGACTCATATTGCATTAGAAAAGTTAAAACAACCAAAGAAAACACTGAATTTGTCAATTGTCTGTATGAAAAAAAAAAAGTTCCTACCAGGAAAACTCTTCTGTGATCAATATGAACAAGTAATCAATTCAATCACTGGGGCTTGTTTGGTATATTATTACTTATATTAATGCATATTAATGGATGTCCCCTGCTACCATTCACCATTACTTTATTGTAAAAACACAGCGGAATATTGCACAACAAGCACAGCAACAAGGTGACATTCACTGTACTGAAGCTACAGCTCAAGCTACAAGTACAGCAGAATGTACAGATTTGTAAACCGGGTTTGGCACGCTGGTTCCTCCATACAGCAGTGAGCGGGGACATGTCGGGGTGACAGGACCGGACTGCAGCACAGAAAAGCTACTAAACAAGACAGAGAAGATGCCCTGTGGGATTCCAACATAACAGCTAAGCCCCCCAACCTAAATTAGGAGGACAACTATGACTTAGCTAGTGAGCATAGCGGGATAAACAGGTAGTAAGATACGAGGATGGGTATTTAAACCAACGTACATGTTTGCTGCGGTGTTCTGGCTCCTCTCCTCACCAGCTCACTCAAATCTTTTCTTTATCCGAAGAAGAAGAAAACCAAGAAAACCAGAGGCTGTCGAGAGGAATAAACCAGTCAGATATGTTCCGAGCACAGTTCTTCTCTCAGTCCATCAGCGCGGTTGTTAGCGGTGTTTAGTCCGGTAGAAACTATCCTGTACACTCCTTCAGTGGGAGCTTTCTCCCATGCAGCCAGCAGTGCAGTGTCCGCTCAGCCAGCGTTAAGCGCTCCGCAGTTAATATCAACACTTCCGGTTGGCACTTTCAAATTAAATATCGGTTGGTCAATGGGCTGAACCTCTATAGAAGCCCATTTCCGCCAATGTGAAAAAAGAAAAAGCTTCTGTAAGTCATTATAGTGAGAAACCTTATCAAGGTATCTAAAAAATATTAAGAAACCTTCTCAAAATATTGACTAAGTATATGTAAATAATGACTTAGTATCACAAAGTCATTATTTTGAGCTACTAAGTCATTATTAGGGACCGAGCACTGACCAGTGCAAGGCCCTATTGTAATGCAAGGAATTATTATTATTATT